GAACATGCATGGGACAAGCATCACCTCCAAGCATCGCCCCCGTCTCTAAGGGAGGAAGGCTCCCTGGCAGCCAGGCAGTCAGGCCAGATTCCTTCTAGGAGTGTCAGAATGTAATTACTCAGAAGTCAGTCATACAACCGATTTAAAATCATTCCCCTGGGACCAAACACCAGGGAGCAATGGCATGTTTCTTTGGGTGACTCTGAGTGGTTAGGACAGGCCCGCTATTTCTGCGGTGGGGCCTGCCTACCCCTGACGTGCAGCCTCCCTTTCCGAATGCCCGACTCCTTAGTTCTGTGTCCTTATCATCTTACCATCCCACAGGGGAGCCACACCACGGGGCGGCCCCAGGCTTCTGATGTTGCTCTTTGCTGCAGAGGTGGAGGTATTTTTTCCAAGGTCTCAGCCAACAAAGACTTTTTGATAGAAGACTGGCGTGATCATCTAGCTTCGTGCTGGGACCGAAGGGAACGTATGGAAACTCAAGGATGCGGAAGCCACGGTTGTCTAATGTGTCATTGTAAGGGTCACATCTTTTGGAGAGAAACAAGGGAGGTGGGTTGCCAGTTGGGCTCCAGAAGGTCTCAGAGTGTTCCTCACCACAGGTACTTCGGGCCGTCATGGTACTCTCGGGGCTGCGCCTGGCCCTCCTTGCGGCGCTGCTGCTCCCGGTGGCTCCGCAGCGCCAGCACCACGCTGGCCCCATACATGATCACCAGGAGACAGGCAAAGGTGGCTGCTGCTCCGTCCGTGCCTGCCAGCTCGCAGTTCATCCAGGTGAGACCCTTGCGGGCATAGAGCCTCGCTCGTGCTCTGCAAGTGTCGGTGGAATTGATCTGCAAGGCTACGTGGAGGTAAATGCCAATGCCTGCGCCGTAGCTCAGAGCCGCCAGGAAGCTGAAGGCGGCCTCCAGGAGGAGCCACTTCCCCCACAGTTTGGTTAGGCTTTTGGCTCCTTGGAGTAAAACACCCATAGTGAGGACACCCAGCCCCAGAGACACAGCCACACCACCATAAATCAGAGGTGCCCGGAGGACCGTATACTGCTGGTCCAGCTGCCGAACCTGCTCCAGCTCCGTGCCCTCAAATGGGGAGTAGTAGTTTCCAAAGCCGCCACCACTGGTGAAGCTGGCGCTGAATCCAGCAAGGACAAAGTAGGAGGCCACGACACACATGAGAACCATCCCATTCAGTATCACCTCCACTATCTGTACCACACCTAGGAGGAGAGAGATGCGGGATTTAACACTGACATCACTCACCCAGAAAAACTAGGTCAGACCACAGAAGTACCACCGGTGCCCTGATTTTAAGGACATGGTCTGATTCAACATTAACATCCTTGGTTTCTGTTTTTTAAACAAATTAATTAATTTATAAGTAGGCTCCATGCCCAATGTAGAGCTTGAACTCACGACCCTGAAATCAAGAGTTGTATACCCTTCCAACCAAGCCAGCCAGGCACTCCAGGGGTTTTTGTTTGTGGGTTTTTTTTTTTTTAAGATTTTATTTATTCATGAGAGGTACAGGGAGAGAGGCATAAATGTAGGCAAAGGGAGAAAAAGGCTCCCTAGGGGAGGCCGATATGGGACTCGATCCCAGGACCCGGGATCACAACCTGAGCCAAAGGCAGATGCTCAACCACTGCCATCCAGGTGCCCCAGGAACCCCAGTTTTTTATTTTTAATATTCATGTTTGAAAAACAAAATGACACTGTGAAAAAAACTTTGTCAGTTTCTTCAAAACCTGAACATAAGCTTACCCTGTGACCCTGCAACTGGACTCCTGGGGTATTTATCCTAAAGAAACAAACAAAAAAAAGTCTACACAAAACCATGTACATGAAAGCCCACAGTGGCTTTATTTGTAATAGCCTAGTATCAGAAACCCAAATGTCCTTCAGTAGGCGACTGGTTAAACAGGTATAGTCATACCATGGAAAACTCTACCCTGTAGTAAAACGGAAGGAGCTATGGATACATACAACTTCGATGGATCTCAAGGGAATTGTGACGAGCAGAAAAAAAGCCGGTCTCAAAGGTTATACGCTGTATGATTCCATTTACGTAACAGTCTCAAAATGACAAAATTATGGAGATAGAGCACAGATCCATGGTTGTCGGTGAATGGGGCTAAGCGGGGAGGGGTTGCAGGTGACTATAAGGGGGGAGCCCTAGCCATGCCTGACGATGGGACAGCTGATCATGGTGATGACATGAATGCATGTAAAACTGGTGAAACCTAAAGCTCTATGGATGGTCAATGCCCTGCTGGTGGTACCGCACCATAGTTATGCAAGCTGTGAGCTCTGTGGAAAAACTGGGTGGAGGATACTCAAGATCTCTGTGCTAGTTTTGTAACATTTTGTGAATCTAAAATTATTTCAAATTTTCAAGTTTTTAAAAACTAAAAAAAATGACATAAAAAAGGAATGAACTGAGAAAAATCATTCCTGTCCCTGTCCATCCTGTTCTCTGCCCCCACCCGCTTTCATTACTTCCTAAAGTAACTTTCCAGTGTTCCTTTATGCAAATAAAAGCACACTCAAATCTGCATTTCATCTCCCCTTCCCTGCGTTTTTCACCAGGAAGCATACCACAGGCACTGCTCCGAGTCTTGTTCATTTACTGTTCCTGGAGATGTTTTCAGATCAGCTCCTACACTGTCCACCGACTTCGTTACGTGGGCTCCAATGCCACTATGTGGATGGACCAGTCTATGCAACTGATGGGCATGCGGGCTGTTCACTTGGGGGCTTCTGATTAGTTTAAGGAACCAACAGGTGAATGGAGATTGAGTATCTTCTTGTCCAAGGTCAGCTTTCATTCATCACTGACAGAGGCCCTGGCCTTGGCTTAGGTATACTTCTGTTAGAATGTCTCCGTCTCCTGTCATTCTCCAGGATTCAGAGATGAGAAAAGAAAAGCATATGACCCTAGAGGGGGAACACCAGGTTCACGTCCCCAACGGTTCACTGCCGGTGATCTTGCCTCCATCACGGACTCGAGGGTCTACACACTTCACCTGGCAAATGAAGGTAGTGGCTGCCTGTCTTATCCCGAGGGGCTGGGTTGCGGCCCCAATGAAAGTAAGTACATGCAAATACTTGGAAAATCATAAAACGTTAATACAAGTGGATGGTGATGCTACTATGTAACCTTTGTACAATGGAAGGGGCTTAGGGGGAGATTTAAGAAATGGGACAAATGAGGAGTGTGGTTTCCCAGAAATCAGGAAGCCTAATACCCTAAGGAGTACCTCAACATTTAAAAACTGGGCAGCTAAATCCAGCTCTCTAACGTACTTAGGGGCACCAGCTCCTAGGTTGCTGATTCTAACTCCTGCTGGGCCCACACAAATTCCTAGGAGGTCCACGGGACACAGCATCCAAAGGCCCTGACAGTTGAGGAGCTACATTCCTCTAAGCTAAATCAGAAAATAACATCAGAAGTGCCCACTCTCTACCCAGGCAGTGTGACAGGCCACTTGTTCCCCATAGCAGAGCCGACGACTTGGCCCAAACATCACTTGAATTCAGGGGGAGTAGTTAACCCCTACATCCAATATCTTTCTCTACTTTGGGTTTTTTGGTTTGGTTGTGTTTTTTTTTTTTTTTAAGATTTTATTTATTTATTCATGAGAAACACGGAGAGCAAGGCAGAGACACAGGCAGAGGGAGAAGCAGGCTCCATGCAGGAAGCCTGATGTGGGACTTGATCCCAGGACCCTGGGATCACCACCTGAGCCAAAAGCAGACGCTCAACCCCTGAGCCACCCCAGGCGTCCCTGCCTAGGTTTTCCTTCTGCAAACATGTTAACGTCTCACCCTCAAAGGGAGATGGGAATACTGTCCTACTACAAGATGGGGAAAGCTGAACGTTTGTCTTCCTTCTGGGACAGATTTTGCCAAAACAGTAGAGTCATGATCCATGCGTATCCACTAGGCTGAAATGAAATAAATCTAGATGTCGTCAACTACCCCACTAGCTACAACAGTTGAGAGGATTAATGGTCTGTCGCCGGGTCCAGTGCTCTTGGGTCGGTGGAAGGAATACGGCCACTAAAGATCAGCACACTACCTGGCTTCGCTACTAACCACAAACAGGCTCACGTATTTCCGCCCTTGCTGTTAATGCGGAAAGATTCACAGCTCTCAGAAGAGAACAAGGGTGACTGCTAGCGCTGGCAGTTTATCTCGATGGCGGGATGGGACAAGTGTCCAGAAAGGGAGCAGAGGGTTCTATAGAGGGAAGTGGAGGCCAGAACAGATATGAGCAAACATGAGATTTTTGTTATAAATGGGATCTTTCTGGGTGAGGCTGGTTCTGTGGCTGATCATGTAATACTCTGCTTATACATCTACTTCTGCCTTTGTAAATATGAAAAAAGAGGGGAATAAATCAATGTTCTTATTTATCTAAAATAACACTGAGGTGCACCCGGGTGGCTCAGTGGTTGAGCATCTGCCTTTGGCTCAGGACGTGATCCGGGGGTCCTGGGATGGAGTCCCACAACCTGGGCTCCCCAGAGGGAGCCTGCTTCTCTCTCTGGCTACGTCTCTGCCTCTCTCTCTGTGTCTCTCATGAATAAAGAAATAAAATATTAAAATAAATAGTTAATAGGGATGCCAGGGTGGTTCAGCAGTTGAGCACCTGCCTTTAGCCCAGGGCATAATCCTGGAGTCCCGGGATCGAGTCCCATGTCAGGATCCCCACAGGGAGCCTGCTTCTCTCTCTGCCTATGTCTCTGCCTCTCTCTCTGTGTCTCTCATGAATAAATAAATAAAATCTTTTAAAATATAAAAAAAGGGATCCCTGGGTGGCGCAGCGGTTTGGCGCCTGCCTTTGGCCCGGGGCGCGATCCTGGAGACCCAGGATCGAATCCCACGTTGGGCTCCCGGTGCATGGAGCCTGCTTCTCCCTCTGCCTGTGTCTCTGCCTCTCTCTCTGTGACTATCAAAAAATAAATAAAATAAAAAAAAATAAAATAAAATATAAAAAAATAAAAAATAAAATAAAACTGAAACATGCAGTCAAGCTATGCTAAAATGAAAAATAAAATCTCCTCTTTGGAAACAAATGCTCTTCACACTTTCTTAAGGATTCTTTAAAAAATTGCCTAATCATATACAAGCATTTATTTCATTCTCTAGACCGAAATGGAATTCACGTTTTAAATGTGACAAGTTGCCTGTATTTAAGGGTAGAGTGTTAGTAAAGAGAAGTAAAGAGAAGATTCTTGTAAAGCAAAGAACATATTCACTTGTACCAAGAATATATTGTAATGTTCCAGAAGTCATAATTTAACATGCAATTTGGCCCGTGAAGTTGTCTGGCCAAAAGTAGCATTCTTCTGTTGGGAAAGATTTTTCATTCTTTTATAATGGATGGATCCTGAATTCCAGATGTCGGGTTTAATTCTTCATACAATGGTACATTTACAAGAGGTACAAAACACTTACTGAGTTTTCAAAGCCACTGTGAGGGGCTTGTTAGAATAGCTTTTTGCAACCCAGTGAATTAATCTGATTCCTCTTTGCTTGGCCCACGCCTACCTCCAACGTACAGGCAGAGTCTCCCAGCCTCCCTACACCCTGCATCCAGAGCAGTAAGGAGGTGAAGGATGGGAGGCCTCAGTGTGGAAAAACTCTGGAGCTCATCTGCTTGAGACAGCTGTGTTTAGAAAAGTTCAAGTTGGAATGTTGTCTCCTGGGTATATGGCTTTTCATGGACTTTGAAGATAAAGTTCTTCAGATGCGCTTGGTTCTCTCCCTCGAGTTCATCACAGGGGCCTTTTGCTGCAGCCCACGCCTTGACCTCTGGTTTTGCTTTGTTTCAATCATTTTGCTTCATCGCTCACCAACAGAGGGCTCTAGAACCAGGGCCGGCTCCACCAGAGAATCCTGCCCCGTGTAACCCAGAGCTTCACCCAGGATGCCAGGTTGGCCCGTCACTGCACGTGCTGGCAAGTCCCGCCACAAAGCACTCCCTGAGAGTAATTTCCACCACTCCCACGGGGCAGGACGGTCTAAAAAGCCTAAAACTCCAACATCTCTGCAGGCTTCTCCTTCAGCTTCCTGACTTTTCGGTAACCCCTGATGGCCAGCACGGCCCCCACGGCAAAGACCGCAGTGCTCAGGGCAGCAAAGATTCCAGCTCCTATGTCCCCCCCGTGGAGACTGCAGCTGAAGCCGCTGTAGCCTTTGCTTTGGTACAGCGCCTCCCTCTCTTTACACACGGGGGAGGCGTAGGCGGCCGAGAGGCGCTGGAAGTAGAAGTACAGAGCGGGGACGTGGGCCGCGGCAATGAGCACGTCCAGCAGGCCTTCGGCCACCAGCCACAGGGGGCAGTGCCACGGCACCCGCAGCACGCCCAGGAGCACGAGGAGGCAGCAGAAGGCCATGAGGGCCCCGCCGCAGGCCATGGCCGTGGTGACGGTGGGCAGCTTCAGCTGGTAGAACTGGACGTCCAGCTGCTGCGCTCTCTCCCCGGCCGCGCCATCGAAGCCACTGTAAGCCCCTCCGAACTGGTAGTAGTAAATGCCCCCCAGGCTGGGGAGGCCCGTGTAGCCCCCTGTGGAGCCGTAAGACACAGAGCTGCAGGCCAGGATCAACAAGCTCAGGAGCGCCTCCAGCATCTGGCAGCAGGCTGCAAAAGAAGGGCGCGTTACCACTTTCAGGGGTCCCCTGGGTCCCCGGAGTCGCGGCCGGGGTGCTCAGCTTCCCCGCGGGAGCTCGCAGGCCCTCTATTCCGCCCCGGGAGGCCTGAGATGCAGCGGGGAACCCTCCCCGAAGGCTCTGGAAAGGATGTCGCGGGGACTTGGCTAAGAAGAGTGACCCTCAAAAGAGCACCTGCCCTGCTGCGGGCCAGGGAGGCGGTGGGAGGGATCGGCCAGTTACCACCCAGAAAGAAAGGCACCCTACTTGGAAGGCAGGCACATCCTCGCCCCAGGCCTTCCCTGCCAAAAAGACTTAAGAAAGGGTGACTTCCTCTTTTGTGGCTTTCTTCGATTTGAAAGAGGAAACTTCTCCAAGTTTGAAGGAAATGACACAGAGCTTAAAGTATACAGTGAAGTTGGAAAAAAGCATGGAAGGGACAACAAATTGTTAACCATGATTGACATACATCAGAAACAGGAAAGATTAAGTTAATTAAACACACAGGGCTTCCTGAATTAAATGAAATTGGTTTCATTGTTCTTAGATTTCAACTAAGTAGGTCTGCTTAAAATTTAACTTGTTTTCTTTTAGTTTCCCCAAAGAGCAAATCTGGGCTGTGATGCTTTCACAGGGCTAGATTCTCTTGGGGACCCTCGGCTTCTTTGTCTTGGATGAGGACAGTGCTGCAGCTTTTGCACCAAAGCTGGCTGCTTTCCTTAAAAGCAACTTCGAGATATAACTGCTATGGAACAAAAGGACCGTTACGTGTGCAGCTTGTTGAGTTTTGACAAATATACCAGCCACACAATGAGTCAAGATACAGAACATGCTCTTCTGCCCAGAAAGTTCCCAAGAGACTTTTTGTGGTCAATCCCTTACCCTCCTGCTCGGACAATCACTGATCTGCTTTCTGCCATTAGGAATTAGGTTAGCCTTTCTAGAATTTCATGTAAATGGAATCATACAGTTACATACTCTTTTGTGTGTGGCTTTTCTCAGGACTCTATAAAGCTGGGTGCTTCTGAGCTGGAAATTGTATATGCTCTGAACAGTTCTAGGAGGTCAGCTGACTTGGAGTAGACTGTTAGCAGCTTCCTGATGTTTAGAGAACCAGATTTTGTGCCTCTGTCCAGTTGGTCTACATATGAAGCTGTGCTACATCTACACATTCTCCAATCGGAATGATATGCTCTCAAGTATTGTCTATACACTCTTCGATTTTTCCCCAAAATGCAGAGAGCATTATTGCTTTCTGTAATTATAAAAGTGGTATATATATTGATTGAAAAAAAAATACAGACAAAAGTATATAATGTAACAATTACCTAAAATCCAACCAATTAAAAATATAACTGCTGTGACCATTATTTTTCTTCTGGACTTCTGTCATATATGCATAATTTTTGCTGTTATTTGCTTGTAGGTGAAGAATATGGTCCTACCCTATCTACTATTACATAATCTATTTTTTCACTAAGGAATATAGTATGGGGGCACCTAGGTGGCTCAGTCAGTTAAGTGACGTGCCTTTGGTTCAGGTTATGATCCCTGGGATCGCCCCACGTTGGGTTCCCTGCTCAGCGGGGGAGCCTACTTTTCTTTCTTCCTTGGCCTGCTGCTCCCACTGCTTGTGCTGTCAAATAAATCAATAAAATCTTAAAAAAAAAAAAAAGAAACCAAAAAACTAAGTGATTAAAAAAAAAGAATATAGTATGAACATTTCTATCTCAGCAAATATAAATATCCTTCATATCTTTAAAGGAAGTATAGTAACACCACAATGAATTTAAATAATTCCAAGATAAAGGATACTTAGAGTTTTCCCAATGTCTTGTTGTATGGGGACAAATATATATATTTTTTAATACAGTGTGGGGAAGGCAGAGCTGCTACAACCCCTTGTTCCTGTTTTAACTTTAATAAAACTAGGAAAGAATAAGCAGGGCTGGGGGAGATGTGCAATTCAGGCCACAATCTGAACGCAAACATCATGGTTTGAACACTATCAGTCGAAAGGGAAAAGGAAAGAACAAAGGTGAAAAAGAAACTGTTCCAACCAAATCAGGGAGCCAAGGAGGGGAGCAGGAAATGCACCTTCTTCCCAAGGAACCTGCAACTCCTCACCCATCCCTCCAAATAATAAATGAGCACAACTTGTACACGCACAGGATTCCTTGTGGATCTGATATGCACACGTGGACAGTTGTACATACTTTTAATCTGATCATTAGCCTCAACCCCTAAAGATTTTAGTATCTGAGGAGACTTGCTCATAAGTACCAGTGTCCTATTTCACTGAACTTCCAAAAGTATGGCTCACTGCCCAAACTTCAGGGTCTCCCTAGGAAGTCAGGGAGGGCCATAGGCTGCCTCCTGCTTCCACCAGTTTGTTGGAAGAGGACATGATTTCACCGATAAGGAAAAAAGAGTCACAAAAGATCTGCTCTAAGAGGGCTGAAAATCTTTGGGTGACCTTTACCCAGGCATGCATTTCCTGCTGGAGACAAGTTCCTGGTGTTCAGTGACTGTTTCTCTCAACACAACACCAAGTATTGTGTCCTAATGTGGGTCTCTGAACATCCAGAGTCCTCTGTAAGCCTTCAATGGTTAGCTTCTGACTGCTAAACCAGCCTTTCACTATCTTGACTCAGAAACAACCTGTAGGCCCAAAGCCAAATAGCCAGAAGCAGTCAAAGCTAAATCAAAGTGTGTTTTAGTCAGGAGTCTCAAGTGCCTCCCTCGCTTCTTGGTAAAATAAACACAGAGGAAAACATATTTCTACTGAGAAATCTGTTAACCAGCCTCTAGCTTATTCCTATTATTTTTATTATCAAGAGAAAAAAAAAAGTCAAGCAAGTAAACCATTTCAGGCTTTAGAGTTAGGCTCTAAGTTTTAATTCCAGCTCTTCTAAATAGCTGTGTGGTATAGCTTACTATACCTCTCTGAGCTTCAGGAATTATTGAGCAAATTAGAAGCAATTAAGTTGTACCAATAAGTATAAATTAGAGTGCAGATTCTGGTATCTGGATTGCCTAGAGCTCTTTAACGGAAGGTCCACAAAATCCCATAATTATATGCACCATTGGAATCATCCTACAATAGATTTACAGGTACAAGTTCCTTGATTTCTCTCCCTTAGGCTGAAAGGTTTTCCCCCTTAGTCATATGCAGCCTAGAAAAATTTCTCACCAAGTCATGTGAGCCACAAGGGCTCACCCTGGCAAACCAGATTTTCTTCTTTGCTGGCAAGGCCAGGACTTGTGCTTGGATGGGAACTCAGGGTACCATGTTTGGAATTAACACATGATATTATTTATGTGTTTTTGCGAACTGTGCACATTCTAATAACTGTTTTTTTGTTTTTGTTTGTTCTCAATGAAACAGGGTAGAGGGATCCCTGGGTGGCGCAGCGGTTTGGCGCCTGCCTTTGGCCCAGGGCGCGATCCTGGAGACCCGGGATCGAATCCCACATCGGGCTCCTGGTGCATGGAGCCTGCTTCTCCCTCTGCCTGTGTCTCTGCCTCTCTCTCTTTCTCTCTCTGTGACTATCATAAATAAATAAAAATTAAAAAAAATTTTTTAAAAAAGAAACAGGGTAGAAATTACCCATATACTTGGCATATAATAATGTTAAAGTACCGTCTTACGTGCGTATGTGTATGAACTTGGTCTTAACGTAAAATATATTTCTTACTATGGATCTCAGTCAGTCAACAAATTTTAAGACATCTGTGGCATGAACTGCTACCAGGCTGCCCCTCCCGGTGGCTTTCCATCTCTAACTCAGCCCTCCCACAGCTGGCAGCTCAAAGCTGGTTCTACCTGCAGTTCCACCTGAATCTGAAGCCTTCACATGGCTCCTTGCCTCACCAGACCCCCAGCCCTCAGCCCCCAGGGCACATTTGAAAAGAAGCACTGGAAATCTAGCTGTACCTTTCAGATATTCCTTTTTTTTTTTTTTTAAATGAGAACCTCCTGTTGTTTTAGAAAGAAAAATGAGGGGGATCCCTGGGTGGCTGAACAGTTTAGTGCCTGCCTTCGGCTCGGGGCATGATCCTGGGGTCCCGGGATCGAGTCCCGCATCGGGCTCTCTGAATGGAGCCTGCTTCTCCCTCTGCCTGTGTCTCTGCCTCTCTCTCTCTGTGTGTGTCTCTCATGAATAAAAAAAAAAAAAAAAAAAAAAAAATCTTAAAAAAAAAAAAGAAACGTTAGAACCCAAAAGTGAAGTCTGCTTGAATTTTTGCTTCACCAGCTCAGACTCTTTCCAGAACCATCAGCAAACAGTAAAATGTCAAAATGCTTCCCAAATGGCTCACCTCTCCCAGTGCACAGGTATCTGCATTTATGGCATTCCAGGAGTCCTTCAGCCTCTGACTGGTAATATTCCACTTCCTCTAGTCCAGACCTGGGGTTCGAGGGCAGGTATCTCCCTGAAGTGGGTTCACTATAACCAAAAACACACACGGCCATTACGGGTTGCAAATTCAATAGCTTGTTCAGTATTGGAACACTGAACATTTCATGCTGCGCCCAGACATTAAAGAAATGTGCAGGGATCCCTGGGTGGCTCAGCGGTATGGCGCCTGCCTTGGGCCCAGGGCACGATCCTGGGGTCCCTGGATCAAGTCCCGCGCCGGGCTCCCGGCATGGAGCCTGCTTCTCCCTCTGCCTGTGTTTCTGCCTCTCTCTCTCTCTCTCTATCATGAATAAATAAATAAAATCTTAAAAAAAAAAAGAAAGAAAGAAACATGCAGAACAGAAACAAAATTTGCCGCAGCATTTTGTATTCCAGAGAATTCTCTGGTTTAGTGGCCCCAGAGGGCATCTAAACACGGGGCCCAACACTGCTAAGCCACTGTGCTTATAATTCTGAGCACTGGTTGGATGCTGGGTTGTCCGCCTGCAGGAGCTATCTAACCAGGTAACCAGGGACCCACCTTTGTGAGCCTAACTTTTCGGTTCGGCATGGACCAGGCCTTCTTTAAAGCTAGTTTATGAAATAAATAAATAAATAAATAAAATAAAGCTAGTTTATGTTCACAAGGCTCTGATGCCCAGGCTGACATTCTCTTCCTTCTCTTGTTACTTTGGAAAGGGCTGAATCCACAATAACTCTCCAGGCATATGGGCAACACAGACAGCTTTGGATGTCTTCCTCTCTCTCCCTCTTCCTCTGCTGGTGCTAGCACTTTCCTTCCTTCCTCCTCTTTGTCCAGCATACCCTGAGCTTTGTCTGGGATGCAGTGGTGGGGGCTGTATTCTATCTGCTGGGCTCCAAGGATCCTTCCAGTATTCTCATTATGGATCTCTTGGATTTGAAATCCTTAAACTCTCGTGGCCTTGGATAAAGTCCAAACTTTTAGCACAACACAGGAGGCCCTGGCTCATCTCTCGTCACTCACAACTTGACATTCACAGATCCAGTCATAGAGAACTGCTCCCCCCTCCCCCCAAAAGATGACCTACACTCCCATGCTCTAGGTCACTGAAGCTCTTTCTCTGCTTGGAACTCCTTTCATTTCCTCTCCTGATCTTCCCATTCTTACTCCTTTTCCAGAACTCAGCTTTGAAGTCAATATCCTCCAGGAAATCTTCCAGATCTCAGGCAGGGGATCTGTTCTCTCCAAATCTGTTTCCCCTGCAGTGGCACGTTTACCTGTCAGCCTCCTACCAGAGTGTGGACCCTGTCAGTAGATCTCACCCATTAAGTAATGGAGCCCTAGCCCCTCCATCCTGCTCATTAAATAAAAGCTTATTGTGTGGAAGAAAGGTGGAGATAAATTGTCCTTTGGTTTCAAACCAACTGGCTATGAGCCAAAAAAGCAAAAGCATTCCCTTCACTCACCTTGGGGCTGGGGGATTAGGACCCTGGTTTATAAGGAAATTCAAAAGGTAGCTCTGGAGCTACTAATGCAATGTGGCTTCGGTGAGGGATGAACAACAGGTAGTGCCTGTGGCTGTATCTGGGCACAACCTTTGTCAAAGTCTGGCTAGTTGGTTTTAGATAACGTAACATAAACTCAGGATAACAGCTTTCCCGCTGTGTGGACACAACATGGAAAGAGACTGAGCTTAAGCCTCCAAATCCCTACAGCAGATAGGAGCCTGACTCTTCCTTAAAGAAGAGGGCAGGTGTCAAAAGCCAGAAGGCAGTCATCACTCCAGTACCTGTCTCCTTACTGGCCTGGCACATAACCTGGGCATTCAGTAACATCTGCGGAGTTGGATGCAATGCTTGATGGAAAAAAGACCGACTTTCCAAGGGAGTGTGGAGCCGAGGACTGCCTCCTCTCTTCCCTTCCATCCCTACGCTGAGTCTTCCAGAACAGCTGATGCATTCACCTCGCAAGGCCCTAAGGGAGTTCTGTGCTCTACAAGATAGAGATGGCAGTTTGTTCGTTCAGAGGAGTGGGATCTGAAACAATCTTGGGGTTTGAATGAGGCTGCCCAGAGACACTTCTCCGACAAAGGTGGGGGAATCTCTGTCCTTCAGTGGAGAGTTCTAGGGAGATTTAGTTCTTTGGTTAATGTCGTTTCTCCCAGCTGCCCCTAGAAGAGGGTACACCTGGTTATTATTAACCCCTCATTGGGCTGACTTTATCAGGCCCTGGCAGGACTTTGGGAGGCTGGTTTTGGAGCCCAGGGCAAGGGTCTGAAGCCCCCGGGCAGTCCTAGGGCCACGTCGGGGCGGGGCGTGGGGAGGTCAGGGAGGAGCCTCAGGTTATCCCCACCTACCTAACCTCCTTCCACCCCTCCCTCTCCCGTCCCGAGGTTCTCTTCCTCCTTACCAGGTCCCCCGCACGGCCACTGCTAAAAGCCGTGGTTTCTACTTTGTTAATCGGGTTCGGATCGAGAAGCGGGGGCATCGTACGGCCTTCCCTCCCTCTCCCTCCAGGCCACCTCCAAGTGCAACAAGGAGGAGCGGCGCTGACTTCCTAGGCCGCGGGCCGGGGGCGCCGGGGCAGCGCAGGGGGCCTCAGCCCAGGCCTCCTGGTGCCCAGGCCGCGGGGCGCCCCTCACCCCACCTCACCTTGCCGGGCCGCGGGGCCCCGAGCGCTCCTTCCTCGGGGGCGGCGGCTGCGGGGTCTCCCAGGGCGCGGGCCAGGGGGGCGGGGCTGCGGCGCAGGCGGGCCTCCGGGGGGCGTCCCGCGCCCGGCTCCGGCGGGCCTTCTCCCCCGCTCCGCGGCCGCCGTCCTGGCGAGCGTGCCGGTCCCTGCCCCCGCCCCGGTGCCCGTCCCCGCGCTCGGCCCCGTTCCTCTCCCGGCGCCGGTCGCCGGGTCTGTCCCGCTGGCGCTCGGGGTGACGGTCTCGGTCCGGGCGGGGCTGCCGCTCCGGGTCCCGCTCTTTCGGCCGGGCCCGGGGCTCGCGAGCCCCCGGCGTATCTCCCATGGCGCGCTTCCGCGTCCGCGCCCCGGAGCGACCCGAGGGCAACCACCCGAGGGCAACCACCCACCGCAGCTTTCCCGGGCAGGTGGCCAGGGCCGGGGCGGGCCGGGGCGGGGCGGGCCGGGGCGGGGCGGGGCGGGGCGCTCACCTGCGCGCACGCGTGCGAGCGGCGCGGCGGGCTCGGAGGCGCTCACCTGGGCGTGCGCGCCGGCAGGGGGCGCGCCGGGGCCGGGGACTGGTTCGCTTCTCCGCGCCGAGGGGCGCCGCCACCCGTCCGCCCGCCGCGCCTCGTCTTCCCTGGCGCGTCCTCTCGGTGACCCCGAAAGGTGGGCGGCATAGGGACGGCCCTGGACGGGCGTGTGCGTCCCCGGAGCGTGCCCACCCACTCCCTCGCTCAGTTCTCTGCGCCCCGCCTCCCAGCCGTCTCTTCTTTCCTCCTCTACCTCGCTCTCGCTCTCCCTCCCCGGTCCCCCCACCCCCCCGCCATCCTTCTAACTGTGTCGTCCAGGGGGCTTGAGGCCAGTTCATCTACTACAACAGTGTTAGACTTTTTTTAAATTTTTTTAAAAGATTTTTTATTTATTCATAGAGACACAGAGAGAGAGAGGCAGAGACGCAGGCAGAGGGAGAAGCAGGCTCCATGCTGGGAGCCCGACGTGGGATTCGATCCCGGGACTCCAGGATCACGCCCTGGGCCGCAGGCGGCGCTAAACCGCTGCGCCACCGGGGCTGCCCAGTGTTAGACTTTTAAAACGACTACACAGAACACGCGGCTTTTCCTTTTTGCCAAGTAAGGATATTTGAAAGCGTACACAACTACCGCCTGTTAACTAATCCTTTAGACCAGAATACGCGAGCGCCCACCCAGCAGGCCCTGGGGACACAGTGGCGGCCTCTAGCGGCTGCAAGGAGCTTCCCTCTTAGCATGTGTGGGAAAAGAGAGAAGGCCCTAAGGGAAGAGACTGTCTAGAAGTTAACGAGGAAGGCAGGTTTCTTTCTGCAGATCTGAGAAGGGGTCTTTGAGTTGAGTCCCGGAAGGCAGCCGTGGGGATGGCTGAGAGAATGTTCCAGAAAGAGAAGCTGAGTAACGCAGAGAGCTGAAACAAGGTTCCAGGGGAGCGAGTGGGGAATAGGATGAGGCTGAGAGGTGAGAGCAGGCAGGTAGTATAGGGTCTCCACAGTGAAGAGTCCACATTTTCATTCAGTAAGTAAGGGGAAAACACAAGGATTTCGAGCAAGAGAGTGACTGCTCTGATTCACTTTTTTAAAAATTATTTTTTTTTTAGAGAAGGGGAGAGGGAGAGATTATCTTTTTTTTTTTTTAAGATTTTATTTGTTTATTCACAGAGAGAGAGCGAGAGAGAGACAGGTAGAAGCAGGCTCCATGCAGGGAGCCTGACGTGGGACTCGATCCGGGGACTCCAGGATCACACCCTGGGCTGAAGGCGGCGCCAAACCGCGGAGCCACCCGGGCTGCCCGAGAGTGACAATCCTAAGCAGGCTTCGCACCCAGCATGGAGCTCGAAGGTGCTCTATCTCATGACCACGAGATCATGACCTAAGCAGAAATCAACAGTCAGACACTTAATGCACTGAGCCACACAGGTGCCCCTGATTTATGGTTTTATTTCTGTATTTTTATTTTTTAAAGATTTTATTTACTCATGAGACACACAGAGACACAGGCAGAGGGAGAAGCAGGCTCCCCAGGGGCAGCCCCATGCAGGACTCAATCCCAGGACCCCAGGATGACGACCTGTGCCAAAGGCAGACACAACCACTGAGCCACCCAGGTGTCCCTGATTTACGGTTTTAAAAGACCAGTCTGGCTTTTGTGCAGAGGCTGAATGATAAGGAGCCAAGCTTAGAAGCAAGAGATAAAATTAAGAAGTTACCAGAGCAACTGAGTGAGGGGAGATAGTGACTCAGTTGCTGGTGAGAAGTGAGTGGATCCGAGTTGTGGTTTGGAGGAAGAACGTAAAGTATGTGGAGGAGTGAGAGGGGTGGCAGCAACTGCTTACCAAAATGGGAAGCCTGAGGGAAGAAGGTAGGGGGAAAAGCGGGGAGTTTCATTTTGGATGTGCTAAATTCGATGTGGCTAGGATTCATGCGGGTGTAGACGTCCGGTGGCAAAGGGATGGATGAAGGAGTCTGGAGCGGGTCGGGGTGGGGCTAGGTGCTCTGCCGTCGTAAAGGTGCTGGCCTATTGAGGGAGGAACTAGAATGCCTAGGAAGGCCTCGGGCAGAGCCCCAGGGAAATGGAGCCCTTAGAGCTAAACTGGAAAAGGATTAAGAAGTGCTGAGTGAGGGAGGAGGAACCCCAGGAGGGGTGGTCCCAGGCCTACCTGCCCGACATTATCTTAGAGAAGCACTGCGGGCCAAATCCTAGGGCCTCCCACCAGTGTTTATTCCAGCAGCATCCTGTTCTGAGCCTGGGACAGGTGTGACTGTGTAGGAGACCTGGCGAACAAGCGGACGCGGAATGGTTAGTGAGGTGGCAAAGTGCTGGGGCCCTGGAACCCTCTTTTCAAATAAACCAATGCCCTTACCACCTTACCTTTTTCTTTCCCTTGTTTTTGTTTTGTTTTGTATCTTTACCTTGATCCACTTCTTACTGGTCTGTTACTGGAGGCCAGGGAGGGGGGCGGATGACTCCAATTTGGGTTTTCTCTCTCTCTCTCTCTCTCTCTCTCTCTCTCTCTCTGTTTAAGGATTTTATTTATTTATTCGTGAGAGACACAGAGGAGGGCAGAGACACAGGCAGAGGGAGAAGCAGGCTCCCTGTGGGGATCCTGATGCGGGACTTGATCCCAGGGCCCTGGGACCACCACCTGAGCCAAAGGCAGAAGACTCTCAACCGCTGAGCCACCCGGCGGCCCCTAGTTTCCTCTCTCTCTCTCTCTCTCTCTCTCTCTCTCTCTCTCTTTTTAACAGTGATTCACCCTTTGCTTTTTCTTCTGCCTTCACAGACCCTGTCACTCTGAACACCGGGTCTACTGAGGTCTCTAAGAGTCACCTGTAAATGTTCCCCCTTATGTGCTCAGTAAGGGTTTGCTGAGTGGAAGGATGGACAGATAAGTATTCCTTTTTTACTCTCCTTGGATGCTTTGTGGAACGAGTTGGACCTGGATATATCTTTGTGGGAGACTGTGGAGCAAAGTCTTTCCAAAGTCCACATAGTGCCTTAACTTCTCCACAAAACTTTTATGGCAAATTTACCTTTTCTAAAAAAGGTCACAACTCTAGTCCCACATACTCTTCCAGAACCTTGCCCCTGCTCCATCAAGACAGAAAGTCTCTATCTAGGGAATCCCTGGGTGGCTCAGCGGTTTGGCGCCTGCCTTCGACCCAGGGTGTGATCCTGGAGTCCCCGGATCAGGTCCCACGTCAGGCTCCCTGCATGGAGCCTGCTTCTCCCTCTGCCTGTGTCTCTGCCTCTCTCTGTGTGTGTCTCTCATGAATAAATAAATAAAATATTAAAAAAAAAAAGAAAGTATCTAATGACGCCCCCCCCCCCCCCATAAGCCTATGCAGGCCTTTGTGATTACCTGGATGAAGAGATTCAGGGCTGGCTATGTAATTTGTGGGGCCCAGTGCAAAATAAAAATGGGGAGCCCTTTGTGTAAATATTAATAGGAATTTCAAGATGGTATAGGCAGAGTATTAAACCAGGGATGGGGCTGTTCTAAGCATGGGGTCCTAGGTGACTGAGCGGGTCACATCCTGTGAAGCTGGCCCTGAATAGAATGTGGCAAAAGAGACAACATGGCTTCTAGGGCCTGTCATAAAAGGCCATGGAGCTTCCTCCTGGTTCTCTGAGAATCCTGCCTCTTGGACCCCAGTCACAGTAATGTGAGGAATCCTAGGCTACATGAAAAAGCTACGTGTGGGTGTTGTGGCTGTTAGCCCCAGCTGTGGTCCCAGCTGATCACCCATGTCACCTGCCAGGGGTTGCTGAATGAAGGCTCAATGATTCCCTTCCTAGTCTTTGAATCACCTCCAGCCTTTGAATTTTCCTGCTCAGTTCCTGCTCCGTTGTGAAGGAGAGACAAGCCATCTTCACTGGTTGTTTCTAAATTCCTGACCCAAAGGATCCATGAACATGGTTGTCTTATGCTTCGAAGTTGGGAAGGGGGAGAAATTGGATTTGTTACTTAGCAGAGGATAACCAGTGTCCATTCCTTGACTCCAGCTCATCTTGGCCTCTCCCTTTTCTGAGTAGGGAAGTTTTTTGAATTGAAAAATTTGTTGCAGTTTTGGTTCAATACATGCATTTTATTTGAAAACTTACATTTATTTGTATAGTCTGTCTCTCTAGCCAGTCAACTCCCTGAACTGATATGTTTTTTTTTTTTAATTTTATTTATTTATTCATGAGAGAGAGAGGCAGAGGGAGAAGCAGGCTCCATGCAGGGAACCCGACATGGGACTTGATCCTGGGTCTCCAGGATCTCACCCCGGTCCAAAGGCAGGCGCTAAACCACTGAGCCACCGGGGCTGCCCATGTTTTTGCCATTTTCATTGTACAGAGAATTTGCATTGCTCAGTAACTAATTGTTTGATAAATAACATTAGTTCTTACAGATGAATCTGTGTTCTGAGAAGGATAACAGGGGCCTTATGTTTCATCTGCATATGCATCTGCATAACAGTTTCCAACTACATGTAATTTTTGATAAATCAGTCAACCACACAAGTGAGGAAAAGAGTAAGTAAGGTGACTGAGTGAGAGCCCAATGAAAATCTGATGAGTTTATTTAATTTTAGTTTAGTGTATGTTCTTGTTTTTGTAGACAGATTAGGAACCAATACTCTGACATCTCTTTTGCCTTAGTTAGAAGTGTAAAACCTTTGGGTTATCTACTGTGTTCCCAGAACCCTTGACATTATGCACATGGTGGAAGGTAACAAGGATGGGAGCCCTTTTCTGAGGAAACTTCTTGATTGTTCAACCAAAGCAAAGAAGAGCACCATGAGCAGACGGCCAAAGAACAGAAAAAGAAAGTACTCGCCATTGGTGTGTTAACAAGAAATGTCCCAAAAAGGTAAGATCACAGTTCTCATTCAGATATAAAATGGACACATGCTAA